GGATTGTATGTACATACATACATATATATGTGTACTGCACATAAAACAGTAGTGTAGGCTATGTATGTACTTACGCAGTTTCTACAAACCGAACAGGATTACTGATAAATATACTTTACATAAAACTGTAGATTTGATGTATATATTCACAAAGTTCTTACAGACGACTGGATTATAGGTAAGCGTATGTGCATGGGATCAATAAGCAGAAATTTAGGTAATTAATTTCACAGTTCCTACAGACAGAACAGAAATATAAGTTTACATACACACTAAAGAATTATGCGCCCAGTAGACGTAGATGGACGTTCACGTACAACTGGAAGAATAGGGTTACGGGAAGATCATCTTTTGCTCCAGAAAAGAATGAAGTAATGTTTTAGGCATAGCACACTGAAAACTTTTTATAGACTGTGAAGGATTATGATGGGGTGTTATGGTGTGGATAGATTCTGTGCATTAGGTGTGGGACTTATTTGTGAATTTCCTTACAGATTGTTATTTATGAGCCTCCCGTGGGTAGATTACAGTCCCATAGGCAACTATGTTACAGGTATTTGTTTGAAAATATTTTACTGGAAAAACAATGTTGAAGATTAACTCCCTGATGAAAAATACATATATTAGACATGGACATACAAGGTCATTTGCAAGGTTATGTCATTCAGAATGTGTTTAGTATGATCATGCCTCCAAAATATTAGTGGCAATTGAAATGTTTTAAACCAAAAATACCCAAACACCAGTTATAGGTATTAAATGCAGATAAGGTAAACATCCTAACAGTATTAAAAAGGTGTCTATCCTACTGAAAAACATAAAGCCTAGTGAAGGAAAACACCTGTATTCTGACAGACAGAGAAACGAATTGAAATCGTGTATCTAGAATTATAACATATAGAGAAGCGTAGTGAAGGAAGGTATCTGTACTTGAAATAAGGAAGAGGACTGCAGACTGATTCAATACCGTAGTCAGACAAGTACATACTTTAAGTGTTAGAGAAGTGTTACAAAAAGACATCCAGTAAAATGCAGTGAACTAACGTTTTAACTCTCCACAAGTCAAGGAGCGCTACTACATACACATATCTGGTGGTAAAGAAGGAAAACGAGACCAGCTTGGCTTCAGATGTCCTCACACCAATGGCTAGGAGCTGTGCTGATCATGCAGGTCCTATTATGTACCTTTGTATCAGCAGGTAAGCCGATTATGGTTATTAATAAAAGTAAATAAAAATATTCATATGCCTTGTAGAAATGTGAAGTGAATATCTTAATTATTTATAATATGCAAGAATATTTCCTTTCTACTGTTATCTCAAAAACAGAAATATTAAGTTAAGTTACACTGAATAACAGGAATAACAGAAAACATGTCTGTTGTGACGTCAAAGAGAGTTTTGTAGAATTATACCAAATTAAGAATTTTGAAGCCAGTCTTAAAATGCACATTTTATTGAATCGATATGTAATCATTATTAATTACTTTTTGGTCATAGTTGGCAAAAATCGAGGATGAACACCGACTATTGGGTAGAGGTTAATTAGTGGGGAGTTAGGTGGATGAATAAATAAATAGAAAGAAAAATAAGGTATTATGAAAGAAGATGACACATTGAATATGACACGATGTTTCAGGTCCCATGTTTAAGCTGATGACAGTGATTACACAGCATTTCCCGACACCACAACTTCTGTTGTGACATTCTTCTGCTAAACATTGTGAGACTAAACTCCAATACTATATTTAAGTAGAACAATAGCACAGAGTCCATTGGAATTGAGTCGAAAGGTTTAACAGGTAAATGGTCGAAGGGGATGCTGTGATTTCAGTTTCTTCGGTCACCTTTCTCATGAAGAAAAAACCATTGATTTCGAGGTGCGGTTTGAAGTCTGTAAACTTTTGGTTTGAACTTTCCTTAACTTTAAATTATAGCTTATTATATTGTTAATGATACAAGATGAAATACGTATATTCATTACAATAACGTTTTTTGAGGGAGTATCTGTGAGTTCTCTTTTGAAAACATCGTCTTCATCTTGAGGATCAGGGCTTTACTGGGATTGCCTTAGTGTGTGTTTGGAGTTTATTTTCTGTTTCCATAGAGAACACTAAAAGTTTCATTCGAAACGCTTTTCTTTGGTTCTACATCTTTTAATTATGTTGGTGTATGACTATTTATCTTAGGATTGGGCTGTGACATATTTATACAGACATAAGCCTTTCCGTATAGGCATTGCACTGTCAAATATCGAAAATTCACCACGAAACAAATATATAGGTGTTAAACATGTTGCATGTGACGCCACTGCTTTCGTCTGTGACTAAACTCCACTGCATCAGCATATGCAGATAGTTTTATATGAAATGAGATTAGCCCTCCTTATATAAGGATATATCTAGAGTGGATACATAAGCTGATACAAATGCACACAGACAGACATAGACATATAAATAAAGAGACACTTAAATGTAGTTCGGGCAATGGTGTGAATTAGGTATGGATACTGTGCACACATGAACACAGATAACTATAAACACACATACAATATACATAAATAGATAAGCAGGTAAATACGTAAGATATTGAACATATGTATAGTAGACAAAATAATAGACAGATATAGAAAGATAGTAGGCAGATAAATGCTTCTATAAAGATGATCCATTATGTGTGTATATCTGTGTTAGCATCCATCACCTCCAATTGACTGTTTTGATTACTGTACTTTGATGCTAACTGGAAACTGTCTGACGGTGTACATGGACTATCTTTTAGGAGTCTTGCCCGAAATAGGGCACGTTTCCACATATTTGTAGACTTTTTGTTTTGAATTTAAAGAGTTAAATGAGTCAATTATTATTTTCCACAAAGCAGTGTATACAATTAGCGCCTAGTGAGGTCATTATGGATTTAATAACATCAGAAAAAAAGAAAAGGGAACATTACCTAACATGTCCTTTATACAATGTTTGCTTCCTTAACGGGTACCCTCAACTAATATGTATGGATACAATAAGTAGCCACAAAAAGCAGATGAGAAGCATAGAGACACCGATAAACTGATACAGTTTTTTTTTGTCATTAAGAACTTGACTAATAAGACGCCAGACTTTGTAAAAAGAAAACTTTTGCTCAGGTTAAAAAAAAACATTGTCGCCTTTTAATACCACAAAAGTACACTAATAAAATATTTTCATGTATATTCTATTTTTACTTTTTAATGCCATAACCAAGGAATGATTCAAATGCAGATAAAAAGGGATTGGGTAATACAGATAAACACAGGAAGATAGGCAAATAGTAATAAAATACGAGTAGATAATAGAGAAATGGGTAGGTAAATAGACTGCTGAACAGCTACTAAGTATGATAACTCTATTATAAATACTTTTTAATTTTCAACAAGATTGTAACTGAAGGAATGCCAAGGACGACATCATTGATTCCATGTGAATGTTTGTAGAAACAAGACAATCTGTTCCTTTAATGATACCGGAAGTTCACTTAACAGCAGGAAATAGCTGGGTTATTGTAAGACTCAAAATACCCGCCAACAGATATACGATTCTATATACTGTAAACAAACAACTCCCAAGTCTATTTTACAAAGAAACTCTACACGCCATCTGTACTATAGTAATATATCTATCACCCGTCCCTCATATGGTGAAAGGCCGAAACAGGCGTGACTGATTAAACTATGAGTCTTGGCAAACATAAAGTATTACTTCATATATATATATATATTATAACGCTAACACGTACTCTAGTTCTAAGGGATTGTGGTAACACTTTTGGGTCTCTAACGGTATATTTAGAAGGTTGAATATAACTTTTAATCTTTGGATAGCAAGGTAGAAATTCACACATCAAACGCAATTCTTAAGATTAAGACTTGCTGATGAATTAAATGTGCAAGATGAGATTTAGATCATATGTTGATAAGCTATTACTATCTAATTTTGTAACTATTAACATCATAATAAGTACTAATCCTGATAGAAATATTTTCCTATAAATAGTTAATTCACAAGTTTATTAAAATTTCATATTACTTCTAATGGAGTTTGACTTTCACCTTAAACCTAAAAAACACTGGTATGTTTTCTTCAGTGAAGTCTATTATAAAGTGTCAGAAATTTACAGACTTTACTCGCGAACTCGAAAAAATAAAATTAAAATGACGACAGAAATACATTTATATTCTGTAAAATGCAACGTAACGACCCTTAAATTCATAATTAGCTAAAATATTCTCCCTAAGTTCTCTTCTTCATTCAATCACTTTCAGGCTTGAGTAAACACGAACATTGCATCATGACAAGGACATATGACAGTTGCGTCTTATTCTTACTGGAGCACTCATAAACTAAAAGCTCTAAAAACTAATAATGTCAGAGACCTTTCTTTGCATGCCGATGTGGGCTTTATGTGTAATAAAATTATCTTAACGCTCGACGATACCGAAAATAAACATTCGCCGTTTTCAGGTCGACGTCCTATCGTTATCATGCAATGTCTTTGAAGCCTAAAAACCAAACGTAAGATGTATTTTGACGTAAAAAAAAAAGACATCACCTGTCTATGTTGCCACAGTAAGACGCAAATAACCATTTTGTAGCTTTCGGTGAAGTTCTGAAATAAAAGCCACAATAAGCTATTATCTGAATAAATATCTACGTGTGTGCATGTTAATAGTACACTAGTTTGTAGGTTGTGAGAAATTTCAAGTAAGTAAACTATTCTGTAGGTTGTTAGAAATCTTCAAGTAAGTAAATTATTCTGTAGGTTGTTAGAAATCTTCAAGTAAGTAAACTACTCTGTAAATTGTGGGAGATCTTTAAGGAAATAAACTACTCTGTAGATTGTGGGAGATCTTTAAGGAAATAAACTACTCTGTAGATTGTGGGGGATCTTTAAGGAAATAAACTACTCTGTAGATTGTGGGAGATCTTTAAGGAAATAAACTACTCTGTAGATTGTGGGAGATCTTTAAGGAAGTAAACGGCTCTGTAAGTTGTTAGAAATCTTCAAGTAAGTAAACTACTCTGTAGATTGTGGGAGATCTTTAAGGAAGTAAATGGCTCTGTAGATTGTGGTAGATTTTTAAAGAAGTAAACGGCTCTGTAGGTTGTTAGAAATCTTCAAGTAAGTAAACTACTCTGTAGATTGTGGGAGATCTTTAAGGAAGTAAACTACTCTGTAGATTGTGAGAAATCTTTAAGAAAGTAAACTACTCTGTAGGTTGTGGGAGATTTTTAAGGAAGTAAACCGCTCTGTAGGTTGTTAAAAATCTTCAAGCAAGTAAACTACTCTGTAGGTTGTTAGAAATCTTAAAGAAAGTAAACTGCTTTGTAGATTGTGAGAAATTTTTAAGTAAGTAAACTACCACGTATGTTGTGAGATATATTTAAACAAGTATACTACTCTGTAGGTTGTGAGACATTTTTAAGCAAGTAAACTACCCTGTATGTTGTATGAAATTTTTAAGCAAGTAAACTATCCAGTATGTTATGAGAAATAGTTATGCAAGTAAACTACTCTGTAGGTTGTTATAAGTCTTGAAGCAAGTAGACTTCTCCGTAGGTTGTGAAAAATCTTTAAGCAAGCAAACTATAAACTACTCTGTAGGTTGTGGAAGATCTTTAAAGAAGTAAAGTGCTCTGTAGATTGTGGGAAATTTTTGAAGTAAGTAAACTACTTTGCATGTTGTAGAAAATAATTTAAGCAAGTCAACTACTCTGTAGGTTGTTAAAAATGTTTAAGATTGTGGTAGATATTAAAGACTCAAATGCTTACCTTTGCTGCTTTTTTATTAGTTAAAGTGGATAGAATATCAGGAAAAGTTATATATGGGTTAGACTACGTTTCATAAATTATCTTGAAAAACGTCACAATAACAGAACCTTAAGCAATAAAAATACTTTACGTCTGTTGGAGTTCTGGTCTTTGGTTATATTAATTGTAAAAGCATGGAAACAGTTCTTCGTAAAAAAAACCGAGACTCTAGTAAGTTCTGTAAAATCCAAAATACACTTTCAACATTTTTTATTTATTGAGCGTGACATTATAAATGCACATATGACAAACTTCTTTTATTCAGAGCCTATAGCGTTGAATATTTAACATTTTTCATGACACTTACTTTGTGCTAATTAATTTCTGTTTTTCGTAAAATAATCGAACATGATGAT